TTATTTTTTTAATAAATATATTATAATTTATAAAAATATAAATTTATATTTTTTGTTATAAACAAATCTCCACGTGAACCCCTGAGGTGAAGAAAATTCTTGGCCGAATTTTGTGAAAAAAAAAAAGTACTTCCATTCCCATCACACAAAGAATAATATTCTCTAAATTTTCATCTCACGAACAAGGATCCGCGGAAAATTCTATGGTTTCATAGAAAAAATTGCCATCCATAGTCTCCGGTAAACGTCGGTGATGGTGTCGGCGGCAATTACAGTCCCTCAAATCAGCCTAGGCTATATAGTGGATCTTTGGCAGTTCCTTCTACACTAGCTTTCATTGTCAAACATTCAATCAATTTCGCCTTTACGGAAGGGAAAAAGACAGAAATTTTGTGCCATCCTACTAAGCCCATCAGAAATTATTCAACCCTTTTAATTGCAAATTTGGTGATGACTCATTAATTTAGTGGTCCTAGTACCGCAAACTAAGAAGGCTTTTGAGACTGCAGGTAGGAAGTTTTGTTTCGTGTAGTCGTATAATATTTTTAAATATATATATTTGGTTATTAATTTTTAAATTATTTTTAAAAATTATAAAAAAATTATAGTAAATATACAATAATTATATATATAGAATTAAAAACTTTATTTTGAAGTTTTTTTACTATGATTTTTATAAAAAATAATTAACATTTAATATAATTATAGAATTAAAAACTTTATTTTGAAGTTTTTTTACCATGATTTTTATAAAAAATAATTAACATTTAATATAATTACAAAATTACTTATTTTTTTCATTTTTTTTTTACCAGTGGGAAAGAGAGGGATGGGAGAATAGTTACACTACTGCTGCACTGGCAGCTTGAACCCTTGACAAAGAAGCAAAAGGTGTTGGTGCACTTCTATCGCGGCTAAGGCCGCAAGTGCATTACAAAATTACTTATTAAAACTTAATTTTGTATAATTTAATTACATTATAATTTATCATATTTTAATAATTAAAACAAATTTAAAAAATTGAAATTATTAAAAAATAATAAATATTATTTATTTTAATAATTATATATCTTACAATATTATTTAAATTTTAATTAATAATTAATAAAATGTATCATATTTCATTTATAAAACTTTTAAAAAATAATTAACCAAATAATAAAATAACTTTC